AGTAAACTTTATTAAATAAAAAATTAATTTTTCACATAAAACTAATGGTCCTACTCAATCTGGTCAGTCCAGTCTAAACTGTTCCTAGCCTTGTATTTAAAAAAAGAAAGATAAATATGAGAATTTAGAAAATTTTAAACAAACGAAAAAATAAAACAAAATAAGAAATGAAGCTTACCATAACCGTCTAGAATCCAGGTCTGAAAAGCTAAAAGAATCATCTAAAAAAAAAAGTAAATAAAGATTAAAGCAAAGTAAGAAAACGAACTTACTGCCTTAGGATCCAGCCGAAGAAACCCAAAGACGTAAAAAAAAAAGAAAATTGGCTAATTAATAACCAAGCGAAAGAAGGAAGAATGAAACAAACAAAACATCCACCTTGCACCTTGAATCCAGCTAAAGAAACCCAAAGACCTAAAAAAAAAGAAAATTGGTTAATTAATAACTAAGCGAAAGAAGGAAAAATGAACAAACGAAATATCCACCTTGCACCTTGGATCCAGCCGAAGAAACCCAAAGACCTAAAAAAAAAAGAAAATTGGTTAATTAATAACCAAGCAAAAGAAGAAACAAACAAACAAACGAAACACCCACCTTGCACCTTGGATCCAGCCGAAGAAACCCAAAGACCTAAAAAAAAAATTGGTTAATTAATAACCAAGCGAAAGAAAAAAGAAACAAACAAATGAAACACCTACCTTGCACCTTGGATCCAGCCAAAGAAACCCAAAGACCTAAAAAAAAAGAAAATTGGTTAATTAATAACTAAGCGAAAGAAGAAAGAAACAAACAAATGAAACACTCACCTTGCACCTTGGATCCAGCCAAAGAAAGCCAAAGACCTATAAAAAAAAAAAGAAAATTGGTTAATTAATAACCAAGAGAAAGAAGGAAGAACGAAATAAAGAAGAAAAGAAATGAAATGAAACTTACCATTTTGGATTCAGCCGAAGTGTTAAAGATCTAATCTAAAATGATAAACTATAGATATAATAAATGTAATAAAATAAATACTGGTAATTTTAATTTTAATTTTTAAAATTACATAATCACATATAAGCACACCTCTATACAATTACACCATAAGGCGATTCCGAAGGGTGTGATTGTAGAGAGGGTCGACTGTATATTTAAAATAACTAACTAATAATTATTTTAATTAATGAAAATAAATATTTAAAATGACAATTAGCAAGCCATTAAAGCATAGTAAGTCTTCTCAAAAGACCATTAAAAATTTTTTTGTTTGTTTATTATAATTATTTGTATATTTACATATTACAATAATCCTGTGATTTTTGTGTTATCAACATAATAATCACAGGATTATCATGATATGCATATCAGCTGATTCTTGAAATTGTACCTAAATTTTAAAATTTAAATAATAATAATCATGATCAATATGTTACCATTCAAATTAGTAATAACATAAAAATCTTGTAATCAACTTAATGATTCTATCCTATTTTTACAAAACATTTTATAAAAACATATATTAAATTGATGAGCATAACTAAAAACTGATGAACTTGAATAGTAGAAGGTGATTAACACTTTAAAATTTTAAATTTGTAACTTTTTAGTATAAAGGTAATAAACGTTATAATATTACGTCAGTTCTTTAAATCGCTCAACTTAAATAAGCGATATATGTATGAGTGCAGAAGGTTTTCTTTGTAAAAAAGATAAGAAATATAAATAAATATTTATGAATGTAATAAAAATATAATAAATGTGTGTAGGATAAATGATTAACAAACAAAATTATAGTATTGCCTCTATAGCGCGTCTGTATTAAACAGTTTATTTATTAAAGGATTTATAACTACTAAAACAAACTTAAAAAAATTTATGAAAAACCTATTGCTACTTAATCCTAAACTACTCATATTTATATAAAAACTATCCTATATATTATTATAATAATTTAAATAAAGAAAATACAAAAAAATAAGATAATAAATAAAATAGATAAATAAAAATAAATACAATAAAAATAATAAAATAAATAAATAAAATGAATTAAATAGACTTTGACGTTAATGGATCTATTTTGCTAATCAATTTTATTACCTTTTTTAAGACGTGGTGAAGCATTTATTTATTCAAATTTTAAAATTCAATATATACAAAAAAAAATTCCCAAGACAGATACAAAAGTAGAAAAATAAAGTAAATGCTGCTTAGCCTTTTTTGAAAGGATTAACTAACTCTGACCAAATCAACCGGTTGTTCCACCTCTAATCAATTTTATTACCTTTTTTTTTAAGACGTAGTGAAGCATTTATTTATTCAAATTTTAAAATTCAATATATAAAAAAGAAATTTTTAAGACAGGTACAAAAGTAGAAAAATAAAGTAAATGCTGCTTAGCCTTCTTCAAAAGGATTAACTAACTCTGACAAAACCAACTGATTGTTCTGCTATGTTCTTAAACAACTGCTAAGAGAAGAAAGTCACTACATGATAAATGAAAAGTAAAATAGATAACTAGTTTTTACTGCATTAAAAAGAGGCTAAGATTAACTATAAATGTAAGAATCGTAGAATAAGTTAGTATATTTAGAAATTGAGGAGAAAGTATTTAAGGAGTTAGGAAGATGAGGTGATTTTACAGGGCTATTCTTTTTAAGAGCTTTAGTGTAAAGTTTTTCTTTTTTGTTATGCCAAGTTGCAGTTCTGTGGCAATAGTCAAATCACATCTGGAAATACAAATTAATGTAATTACATGAGTTTGTATGTATTCAAAAAAATTAGAAAGGATAGTCATAGTTTTTTTGTTACAGTTTGTAAAATTATTGATGTAGAAGAACAAATAGCTAGGAATGATTTCTTTGATCATGTCTACTATATTAAACTTCGTAGGAGATTTATTTGTCAGAATCCAGTAATCAAAAGTTGAATTCATTAATTCGTTTAATTCGCTAGACCATTAATTATTAGATGTGTAAATAAAAAGTTGTTCTTTTAGTTTAACAAAGGTACTGAGCACTATTTGATTGAGTATTCGATGATTCCTTGAACAAAGCCAAATATGATCAAAAGTTTCTTTTTCTGTAAGACATTTACAGCAGGTCCAATCATCATCATATAAGTCTGGTCTTAAAATTTTGAGATTTTCGATTAAAAGAAGTAGTTCCAAAAGGAGCTGATATTTTCTCTTATAGCCATAAAATTCTTTGAAAAATGTTTGATTCATAAGTTCAGAGTTGATAAGTTGGAAGATGCAGAGCCAATTAATAGATAGTTCAGAATATATAGAGTTACTCTTTAGATCGAGAAAATCAGTGATAATGTTTGTGTTAGAGTAATCTTTAAAGAAGGGTCTAATTTCTATGTTGATAGATATTTGATTAAAGATGAGAAACGAAACTCAAAAAAGGTAATTAATAAACAGCCGAAACTATATCCCTATAAGAAATCGAAATAAGGAAATGATACGTTTTTTTTAAGGTTTGTATACGTAATTAATGATTCTATATC